AACATAATGAGAAACCCACTTGCTTTTCACAGGAGCTCTGAGGGTGACCTGGATCACTAATAATCTACACAGATTTCGACAGACCGTTGCAAAAGTCAAGTAAAAATAGATGCTAAAAAAATGCTAACTTTTTATCTCACCGAAGCCCTTCCAGACCCCTTGTAAAAAGGAATCTATCATCTAAACGCTGCATGTGGATTGGATGAGCCCAGGGTCCGCCTTCTCCAGACCCCTACGACTATATAAAGCTCCACCAGAGCCTCTTAGGGGTTAGAGGAATGTGATTGCCAAACAAACCCCAGGGCCTTGACCAACAGCACTTTTGACACTCGCTTACATGCAGTACATGCTGCGTTCATGCTGGCACCCATGTTTCACACTATGGTTGATTTCTCAGAGAAATACCTGGAAAGGTAAGAACATGGCAGCGGACGACGTGTGTGGATTCGTTTGCAGTTTGAATTTTTGTTGTCAAACGTCAGAAGGGAGAGTGAGCGAAGCGTGGGTAGGGGCTATCTCACGTCCCTCGGGAATCGCTTCTCTTAGGTTGGTAGGAAGCTATCTGACCTCTACATGGATCTCATTTGACAGTCGCAGTGAGGGAGAAGAATCCCTCCTGAGGCTGAAGTGCTGAAACTATTTTGGAGGGAGCAGCTTTAACTTCTAACTTGAGGCTGTCCCTTTTTCTTATTATACGCAGCCTGGATTTCAGGAATAGGATTGCTCATGTGGTCTTTGTGGCTAGGAAGGTGAGTTTGCTCAGAAATAGAGCCCTTTTTTTAGTCTTGATTGACGGAGACTATGGATGTAATAGTGTTATATTTATGGACAAAATTGAGGACAATTCCCTTTTTCATTGTTCTTCTAGGAATAATGCACAGTGACTTTCTCTCGGCTGGGAGGCACTTTGAAAATTTCTCTTGTTTGCTATGTTGACGAGTACACTCTGTGTTTTTGGATCCAACGCTTCTCAGTTTTGTCTGTGAAGAACGTGGTTGCAGTTTGTTCCAGTGTATTTTTAGACTGAGCCTTAAAAAGTGTTAATATTGTCTGAAGTGTCACAGACACACTGACACAACCCTTGACCCATTACGCTCGCACAGGCACACAAACAGGCTCACACGCCGGCACAGTGTTATTTGCGTGTCATGTCCCGCATTCGCTTCGCAGGAACACAGCCTTCTGTCAATAGAGCGGTAGAGGGGCTGAAAACAAGGCTTCCTCACCAAAGGGGGCTGCTTTCGCCGTACACCAGATCTCGCAGGTCAGGCTTGACAAAGGGTGAACTCCGAACATTGTGGGAAACAACGCCTCGTGTAGTGAAACAGAAAAGCAGGATGAAGTGGGGCAGTGGATTTGGCTTGTGCTTGTGTGGTACATTGTGATCTGCAGTATGTCTGTCTGCAGCTCTCCCCATGTGCTACCAGAGCCTTTCCCTGGGAGTGCGGCCTACTTTTCAGAACACCAGGAATAGCCAGTGGGGTGCTATTAGTGCGACTAATGTGAGCCAAGCAAAGAGGGAATAAAAGAGCATGGAAACCTGCGGATAATTGCAGAGCGAAAGACCTCTTGCTCCTTCGCTCGAGCACATAAAGCGTTCCCTCTTGTGCAGACACAAGCGGAGACTCAGGTGCGCGTATACAATGTGCTGCAGACATGTGGCGTGCGGTTTGCTCGTCGAGCGGCGGAGCAGAAATGTCGGGCTTGTTAGATCAAAGGTCATCCTAATTTGATAATCTTTGACAGAGCATGTGTCAGTCTGGCGGATCAAGTTAAGTAAAGGCACGGAGGGCGATACATACCTAATGGCATTGAGGAAGCAGCAACTTCAAAGAAAGTGGTACTCAAAGCGAGAGAGTGCAAGAAGAGCTTTAGCACATAAAGAGCAGAGGTACAAAGAGCACTGGGTAAACACACTTTCAAATACAGTATTTAATGACTTTAGTCGTCAAGAATAACTTCCTAATACTGAGTACCGTGATACATAAAAACATGTACTTGGGCTTTCTTTTACTTTTTTCTGTCGAGTACACCACACATAGTTGGCACAAGTGTGCATTTTTATCCACTTTACTTCCTATTTTCATTATTCAGAGGCAGTTTTATGTCGTTTTTATAAGCGATCAGATGCTTTTGTGCATCTGGAGACTTAATTGCAACCCTCACTGTTGGAAAACAAAAGAATGACCGTTGTGCTTTTGCTACAATTGCAGGACTCCAGCTCCTTCAAGTTGAAATTGATGTCTGCTTCCATTGAGCAAATAATCACACAGGCAGTTTAATTTGTGGCTGCAGCAGTCGTGTTGCCATTCAGGGAGAAACTCAGGGAGAGAGACCTCACACCTTCAGCACTGCAAGGCGGTCAGCTTTTCCATTGTGTATTGATTTAAATCAGATATCTGCATGCATATCGCTTTGTTTCCAATAACACTGTCGGGTGTTATAGCCGTGTTTCTGAAAATAGACGGAAAGCTAATTTATGGGATGATGTAAGCCGCCGGTGTTTGCAGTATCCAATGACACCCACATGGTGGCAGGAGAGAAACATACATTTCCCTTAAAGTGACTGTTGTTATGACATCATTGTCACATCATTCCCACATGGGCTCAAGCTTGTATAAAGCCAGACATAAATAATAAAGCGTCTTTTGTCAGGCCAAGAAAACATTTTCCAGCCCTTATAAAAAGCTTCTTTTCCTCATAAGACAGAGGCTTTCTTTTAGTTAACACATGCACGGCTCAAATCTTAATTGCCTCGAGCTGCTAGCCTAAAAATAGAACAATCTAATAAATGCTGCTCTGATGTTACGAGTTTATTTAACAGCAAGAGAGTTTTTATTTCGGTAATAATGTCCTTCAGGCTTGCAAGTATGAGCTGTTCACGGGGATGCTGCACCCTGTTGTTTCCATGAACCAGAGGCCTACATTCTGTTCAGCAGTTGAGGCATCTGGATTTGAGCCTCTTTCATGCAGGGCACTTATGTTATTCCAATCAATGGATGAGTCATCTCTTCGCCTCTGACGGTGTGTCAATGTTTAGATATTCCTTGAAGACATTTTCGTCCATTATCTGGCCTGAGAGAAGAAAAACAAAAGCTCTCACGTGGCTTTTCTCTTTTTGGTAGAAATGGTCTGCACTTATATCCAAAGGGCTTTACAATGTGTTTCTCATTCACATACATTCATACACCAATGGCGACAGAGCTGCCATGCAAGGTGCTGCCTGCCATTGGGAGCAACTTTGGGTTCAGTGTCTTGCCACTTCGACTGTGAAGGGGCAGAGGATCGAACCTTGCGATTGGAGGGCAACCTGCTGAACCACAGCCGCCCTTTTTGCTCCACAAGATATCTTTACTTCTTTATCAGGCGTATAGATTTTTAAGTAACTAATGCAGCACTTTCTCTCACCTGAATCTGACAAATTCTTTCCCTGAATGGTTCTTTTCTGGGAAAATATTCTACAGCCTCCCCCTCCCCGTAAACCCAAACACCCCCAAAATCAATCCACCTACAAAGCCGCACTCATCCCGATTTTTAAAAAGAGCCATTTAGCTGCTGCCTGCCACGGCTCAAACACTCACAATGTGTCGTGTTTCTACCTTTTCTGTGCGGCAGCGCTTTCGGAAAAACTCACATCGACAGCTGACTGTGTTCTCTGTTCAGTTCGGCAGCCACGCTGTGTGTGTGACCACCTCACTTTTTACGCATGCATAAATTATCCCTCTCCCACACACACACACACAAATGCTAGTGCAGACTTACTTGGAGTTTTCCAACACCTGCGAATGGCATGAAAGCCTCAGTGAAGTGGGCACGAGTTGGCACAGGTGCAGCTCTTTGAAGCAGGGGCTTGTTCTGTCGTATATATTCATGTAGAATATTTGTGCTAATCTGCGGTTGCGTGTGTTCTTTCGCCCTCCGGTCCGTTTGAATGATAAGCGTTTCTAACAGGAAGCCGTGTTTCTTAATTTGGGGTGTACATGCTCTCCTGGGGGCTGTGGATTGGCAGTGGGACAGCTTGCAGTGATTAGGGCCAGCCAGCGCATAACGCCGTGCTGCATTATTAGCAGGCCAGTCAATCCACAGTGGAAATCAAAAGCAGGGACTCAGGAAATGGGTGTTGAGTGAGGTCACATCCCAACGAGGCAGCACGTGCTCCAGGTCGGGAAAAGCCAGGACACGTACCATGGGATTATGGGAAAGCGCAGGATTCTGTCGGAGCCCATGGGTACCGAGGGGGGGATGGCGTATTACCCTATCTGAGATTCAATGTGGCGCATGTGCAGCAGCAGCAGGGCGACTGTGCGCGCGCGGGTGCGGTTGGAGAAAGGTGAAACAGGTGAAGGCGGGTGGTCAGGAGGATTTTTGGGATGCTGCTTCTGGAGGGGAAGGCAGCACAGGAGTGAGGATGTCACTGTGCCCTGTTGCCTCTGCCCTGGGTCAGCTCCCTCTCAGCAACCCCTCTAGGCACATGGAGAATGGCGTGATGAAACAGAGGAGTGAGGACTGAGTCTCTCTCCTCCTTCTCTGCCACATTCGCTTAGTCCCTGCCGAGGAACCTGCCAGGGACACATCTAGAGGAAAGACTGTTAGAGATAATAGATTGACAACTGACGAGACGCGAGGAAAAAGGAGACTGACTTCTGCCTTTTGGAGAATTCTAAACCCATCATACCACCCATACAACGGCTGAAGACTATAATGTACACAACACGACATTTATGTTCAACTTTTCTGGCATTTGTTGGTTTGATTTTTCTTTTTATGTGGATTGGATTTACAGCGCTGAAGAGCTTAATTGGTGATTCTATGCCTTGGATTGTTTCTCATGTGGACTCTGGACTTGGAGACTCAACTTTCTTCCCATCTCTCTCTCTTTTTCCTTCTCTATCTACTTTTTTCATTCCTTTCATCTTTATCCCATTTCCCCCTCCTCCTTCTCTATTCACAAACCTCGCTTCCCTTCTTTCTTTCCCTCTGCTATCTTTTCTTTCACTCAGGGCCAAAGACATGAAGAATCGGCTGGCTTTCCTGCGGAGGAGGAATGAATCCCCAGGAAGCAACCCAGCCAGCAAGTTAGACAAATCTATGAAGTCAGTCAAGTAAGTGGCCACTTCCTGACAGCGGCGTGTGCGCGTGGGTGTGAGTGAGGCTGGTTTGTGGATCTTGCCACAGCTGGCGATGACCTGGTCCTGGAAGACGACAGACATGTGGGCAGTAGGAGAGATGGGAGTGTTCTTCTAGTGTGGCATTAATAAAATGAATGAGAGGACGTTGTGACTAAGATGGCAAGCCAGAGGGAGGGAAACAGTAATGTTAGAGCTCTTTTTTTTGTCTATAAATCTATAAAATATAGTCATTAAATTAATAGATTCTAAATATAAAATACAAATTAGCTGTGGGTGATATGAGGAGCCTTTATTTATAGACTTTCTATGCATCCATTTGGAGCCAGTTAGGCACGATGCATTTTGATTTCATGAAAATTTAATATTCAAAGCAGTTATAGAAATACTTTCCGGAATCTAGCGGTGCCTCTTGCCAAGAGAGATCAAAAGCAGGCATTAAGTCGACTCACACACATATTATATGTACATATATCAGCATCTAAACAATAGCAATGCAAATTTTCTTGATCCATTAGAATAGATGTTAGAATATTCCCTGAAACTAAATCAAAAGATGCAGAAAACTGCCAAGACAGCCCTGAAATACAGAAGCAAGTCATTTAAGGCCTCAGATGTGGAATTGCAGTCAACGTGAGATGGGCACCGTCTGAAAAAAACCACACTTCATTGGCATGGTACAGAAAAGATGAGAGGCAGCAGGGGGCAGACCGACACCAGTGGGGGTAGGAGGGCTCTAAAGCCAACGCTGCCTCCTGATTGGCTGCCTTAAGCCCCTCCTCCCTCCCGCCTTCAAACTCGCATTGAGTGCGACTATAAAAGCCTCCCCCCCCACCACGGTGAGGCAGACAAGACTCATGGCTCACCGTGTTGCAACCATTCACAAGGTAGAGAGACTAGAAACAGACTAGAGTGGAAGGAAGCAGCGCAGAGGAACCGTCCCAGCTCCACGTTTCCACTCGCCTACCCAGCATAGAGAAAGTCCTGCGGATGGGTCACACAATGAGAAACCTGGCTGAAATGGGCTTGTTAAAGAACCGCTCTGCTTTCATCTGCAGGCCCACCCCAGAGGAGGCACTGAAATGGGGGGACTCACTCGACAAGCTGCTGGCACACAAATGTAAGTTTACTTTTTAGGTTGTGTTTTTTTTGCTGTTTTTGTCCTGTTTTCTTTTGACATGTCGGGTTCAGTGCAATGTGGATTGTGGACTGTGAGTAAATACTGAGACTGAAAAGTGCATGTTTGAGGTGGTGGGGGGAGGGTGGTGAGGACAGAAAATATGCTTGTATGTGGATTACACACACACACACACACACTCACACACACATGCACACTGCTTATATGTGCGGACAGCTTGCAGCAAGTTTTCCCCCCTAATCCCAACGGACAGAGTCCATGATTTATACGGCAAGACCAAGTGTGACTAAAACAGGCAGCCTGCAAGCGTGTTACTATTTCTGTTTTCCACAATTCGTCTTCCACAGCTCGGCCCCGATTCGTTTTCAGAGCAGAAAGCTGATGCAAAGCCAGCGCTTGCATCTGTTCCTCATTCGCCTTTTTTTTTTTTTTTTGTTGGCCTCCTTAGTCTCCCCTCTTCTTATTCCTTCTCCTCCACCTCTTACCTCACTCCTGCTCACCAGAATGAGGTAAGAGATGACTGCCTTGGCTGTGCTTATCAGCGTGGGTGATTCATGGGAACGGAAAGGTGCAGACAGGAGCAGTGGGTGGACACGGCTTCCTGCTATTCTCTCCCTTGGATGCCTTCTTCCTCAAATCATTAACTGGACCGAAACTCAAGAAAAAAAAAAAAAAAATCCCAAAGAGTTTTCCCCCCTTTTACACCGAAACAGTCACCTCTTTGTTCATTCATGTGCACGACGGGGGCTGCATAGCTGTCATGCTAAATATTAAGGAATTATAGTGTCAGCGGGGTGATGTCACTTAAAGGATGTTGAGTACTTTGAATCTGTGCTGCTGCTGCTGCGGTGTTGCTGTTTTTTTTTTCATGTCTCACTTTATTCCAACCACATGACTCAAAAGGCCCCGTCACACTGAGCTATTTTAGGCACTGAAACTCCGAGGAGCGCTTCAGCTGCGAGGGGTTGCCATGGCACTTTAGTCAACTCTCCTCTTGTTTATTCTCCTCCTCTCCCTCAGATGGTCTGGCAGCGTTCAGAGCTTTCCTGCGCACCGAGTTCAGCGAGGAGAATCTGGAATTCTGGCTGGCGTGCGAGGAATACAAGAAGATCAAGTCGCAGTCCAAGATGGCCTCCAAAGCCAAGAAAATCTTTGCAGAATACATCGCCATCCAGTCGTGTAAAGAGGTGAGTAAGAGTGGACGTGACTCATGTGGACGCCGGAGAAAACTGCTTGGAAACCAACCTTTGCGAGTAAAGAAAGCGCGTCTTTTTGTTTTTTTTCCCCCCACAATAACTGGATTGTTGTTCTCCTGTTCCCCTGCAGGTAAACCTGGATTCCTACACTAGAGATCACACTAAGGACAACCTGCAGAATGTGACACGCTCCTGCTTTGACCTAGCGCAGAGGCGGATATACGGGCTGATGGAGAAGGACTCATACCCTCGCTTCCTGCGCTCAGAACTCTACTTGGACTTAATCAACCAAAAAAAGCCCAGCTCCACTTCGACTTCATCTTCATCATAAGAGATGACAAATATATATATATATATAAGGAGAAGAGAAAGATGCTGAAAGAGAGAAAAAAAAGGGGCAGACTTGAAAAAAAACAAAACATAGTGGGTGGGATGTGAGCTTCTTTGTTTGCCTTTTTTAAGTTTTTTTTGTGTCTTGTCATCCTGTTCACTATTAGTTGTTTTTTCTTCGTTGTTATGATGTGAGAGGACGCGGCAAAGCTATGGCACTGCAAAGGAATGTAGTTTACACAGTTACCAGATGGATGGATGAATGGATGGACTGGTGAATGGATGGATGGATGTAACTATAAAAAAAAACAAATCCCCATGAGCAAGGGCTGGAGCAGGAGCTGGACGCTTGTCTGATCACTGTTTTTATTGTTTTAAGTCTCTTGTCAGAAAAAAAAAAGTGTTTTGTCCAGTTGTACTGGAGAAAAAGAGGGGGTTGCACCAAAAAAAGAAATAACCCCTGCAGACATGAAGACAGTCCGGTACTGTTTTGTCACTTTTTTCCTTTATTTCTATCAAGACTCCAATTTTAAATCTTTTTTTTTTCTCCATCACGTTCTCTGTGACTTCAAAGCTCTTGGTACGACACAAAGTCCTTTTTTTTTTCTTCATGGTTTTTTTCCATCAGACTCCAAACTTTGTGACGGAGGGTTGAGGGGGAAAAAAAATGTCTGAATGAAAACTACCATCCTGGCTCTATTTCGCACGCATCTGTCAAACCCTGCATCCACACGAAGCTTCTATAAATGGCTTATTCAGTTCAAGACTGCGGGGAAGATACTGCGAGCCTTTCGACGGGGACGTGAACGGAGACAGAGACGGGCAAAGAACATAAATGTATAAATAGCAGCCGGACTGGAGAGCTGTGATGGAACACAGGCGTGTGTCCCTCTCGCATTAAAAAGATGTGAAAAGTCACATTGGAAGCCAGAGATGGAAAGAAAGAAAAAAAAAACAGACGACTTGCTTCCTGTCTCCGAAGACTGTTTACAACAAGGAACGAAAACTCAAGAAGAAGAAGAAAAAGTGTTCCGCGCAGCCAAAATTTCCTTTAACATTGTAGCTCATTCTGGACTAATGGAGGAAGCATTCTCAGGACATTGCTATGGCAGGTTACAGCTTGGTTTATTTCTTCTCCACTCTTTCTGTTTTTCTACACATTCACTGTCTTTTTTTTTGTTTTTTTAAAAAATGCGTTAGGGTTCCAACCTGCACTCCCCCTTGTTCTGCTGAGCAATACACGAGAGGTTGCTCGGTTTCGTAGTCGGAGGGAAAAAGAAAAAAAAGAGAAATGCTTCATGTGTACAAAGGTTTGCCTATTTATTTAGATTAACTTGGTGGATGCTTCTACAGATACACTCACGTCCTCCAGAGCACTCAGCTAAAAGCTCTCACTTTCCTCTTAACCACCAAACAGGTCCAATGCTGTCCTGAACTTTTAAGTGCAATATTTTCTTCTTTTTGTTTTTCTTTTTTTCTTATTTTATTATTATTTTGTTCATTTATTTGGATAATTTTTGTTGAATTTTTAACGGGGAAGGCAGAACAGCTTGAGCTCTGTATTAACTTTATTTGTTAAGAGAAAAAAAAAATACTTAGAGCTATAAGGTTGACTTACAACGTAAAAACTTTCAAGAAGCATAAGTAGTTTAATGAATTTTAAGCAAGTGATTCTAACTGTGTGTTACCCCCCTCCAACTCCTCTTTGGCAGCAGGCAGCCGGGGAAGGGAGGCAAGGGGGGGGCGTTATGGTTGTAAATATAATTCTTTAAGAAAACTATGTGATAACACATTAAAAACAAAACAAAAAAGCCAATAGGTCTCTGCTGGTGATGAATGTGGGACCCAGCTGTATCTATGTAAATATGAGAGACTCAAAACTATAAGATGACATGTATTGTTTAAAAAAAAAAAAAAAAGACGAGGAAAAAAAAACAACAAAAAAAACGAAATAGGTGCAGGAGCAGGTCCAGTCTGCTCTGTTCCCAGGTCATACACTGCTTGTAAGGAGTTTTCTGAAATGCATTTTATCATTTTCACTGTTTACAATTCAAAATGCATCTCCTATGATAGCAAGTGAAAACAGTAGAGTACATTTGGTGTCATTGCTAATGATAAATAAACCAACCAACTGATGAAGTAACACGTCTTGTCTTTGGGTTTTTCCTTGTGATGTGCATATCGATCATGACGAGCTCCAGAACACTAAACACTAAACACTAAAAAACAGAGAGATTTTTGGAAATGCACTTGTTTGCCTTCTTGCAGAGAGATGAGAAGATCAACGACGCTCTCGTGTCTGCTAAATGTGAAGCTAGAGCCAGCATGTGATCAGATTAGCTTAGCATCAAGGCTGGAAACATTTAGCCTGGCTAAGTGGTCTGCTAGCACATGTCTGATGTGTAAAAAGTTGTTGGTTTTGTTACAGAAAATATACACTTATGAGGCAAATTCATGATTGTAGGAGTTGCTTGTGGGCAGATTTTATTCAAAAAATTGGATCGAGCTGACTGATTGGCTTCTAATTTAGCCTGTAGACATTCAAGTGGTGTTGATCTTCTTATTTCTCTACAGGAAAGAAAGCATCTAAGTGTATTTCCCAAACACTTCTTTAAGCTAACCTTAACCCTATTCAGGACTTTTGGCGTCTTTTGGACCCCAGGCCATTTGGTTTAGGTCAGGGGTGGGCAATCCTGGTCCTCGAGGGCCACGATCCTGCATGTTTTGGATGCTTCCCTCTTCCAACACACCTGATTCAAAGGATCGTTATCAGGCTTCTGCAGAGCTTGATGATGAGCTGATCATTTGAATCAGGTGTGTTGGAAGAGGGAAACATCTAGAACATGGAGGACTGTGGCCCTCAAGGACCAGGATTGGACACCCCTTGTTTAAGTGACAGGTATTGGTTTTTTATATATATAAAAAGAGGGACATTTGTCATGCATTTGGAACCAAAAATACTTCAACTTATCAGAAAATGTATTTAACATAAAAGTCTATAATGAATACCAACTCATATTTTGCACATATTCTTTGTTGGGGTCCAGTTGACCCCAAAAGACCTTCTTCGTATGACAACATGAAAGTCCTGAACAGGGTTAAACTCAGGTTTATTTGAACTTGGGTCTTAGTTTTGTGGCTTTAACTATCGCTCCTGTTGGTAATAACAACATCCGACATGCCAAGTTACAAATTACAGATTCTCGGTTCAACCGGGTCTCCCACACGGGTACAATGTTATTATAGTAACTAATGGGAATAGTGGCCAACACTACGAACCTCAGGCCCCAGTTGTAAAAATTAAAGAGCTCTATTTTGTTCTATGCGGCGTTTATTAGCTCTGACACAAACTAACAAATGAGTTTGTTTTCATACTCTGAGGAGCAGCGAGTGAGACGCAGAAAAACAAGACTGGTCTCGACCCCAGCTGTCTCGTTTTCTGAAAAGAGGAAAAAAATGTGACAGGGGTCGAGTGCTGGCCTAGATGTTGTCGGGGAAAGAGAGGGAACAGTTGGACGTCTGCGAGCGGCCGTGTGTGTGTGTGTGTGTGTGTGTGTGTGTGTGTTTGTCTGTGTTTGGGGGGGTTGATTAGTCTGACGTGGTGCCGGAGACAGTAGTAACAGCACCTAATCTTCTTTACCAGCTGCCATCTGTTTTGACAGACACAGTTTCTTTCTTTTTTTTCCCAAAAGTGTTTCCTCCCCGTCTCGCTCTCGGCCGACCGCCTCTTTGTGTTGTGAACCCACGCTCGTATTTTCTTTCTACATCTCATCTTTTATGCCGCACAATGGTCCCGCTCTTGAGCTTGGTTACTTTGCCAAATCCTTTTGTTTAAGTTTCCTTCCTCTCCGGCATTTGTGTAAACCATATCCCGGCGTCTGTCATTGTTTTCATCCTCGGCCGTCACGTGAGCCTCGAAAAAACACCAACTCACATTTCCTGCCCAGATCTCTTGTGTCCTGCTATTTCCAACATGTCTGTCAGCGTTTCCTTCGCTGTGACAGTCTCTTATCCGACATTCTTGTCCCGTAAAAGCTTCGTCTTCGGGATATTGCTTGTGACAGTTAGTTCCCCAGACCTCATAGAGAACACATGCTGAATGATTGAAATGCTTTTGTGCTCAATACCACAATCTTGTCCATGAAACCGGAGCCATGAGGTAATTAGCTTAGGTAACTTTAAAGTTTGGAAGCAGGGAGAAAAAAAAACGGTGTCCAGCCAAGAACCAGCTCCAGCACACAACTCCCCATACGACCACAACTTACACATTAAACACGGGATATAAAGTTGCAAAGCTTTAGATGTGCTGGCAAGTTTTTAAAAGCCTCCCTCTGGTGAAAAATCAAGTTTGTTACCTTGTCAACATGGTGTTTTTCTTCTGGATGGCATAACATTAGCAAAACAAGCAGTCGATGCTAAAGCAGAGCATTTCATCTTTGATACTGCAGTGTTCAAATAACACAGATTCAGACTTTTGGGGTTTCGTTATATTAGCTCAAATGTAAGGCAGAATTATTCCACTGCCTGTGTACAATGTTTTAGCAGAGCTGTAGGTGAGCTGGTGTGCTCGAGCTGCAGTGAGCGAGGAGGCATGATGTTGACGTCATAGCTTAGTGTATTTTAGTGGAAGCAATGGTTCCACAAACTGTTTTTGTGGTGATAAGTTATTTCAATGGGAGAAGCTTCTAAATATGCAACGTAACACAGAGATTAGTATTTTCTGGCTTAATAAATGAACAGAGAGGAACATTAATACACCTTGAATAATTCTAAAAATGCAGTTAATTGTGATTTTAAGCTCTGGACAGACCCAAGCTAGCTGTTACCTCATGTGTTCAGTCTTTATGCTAAGCTAAAGCTAACAGCCTGCTCATTCCAGCTTCATGTTTAACTGACAGACATGAAAGTGGTATCAATGTTTTCATCTTGATCCCAGCAGTATGTCCAAACTTTAATGTGTTTTGCACATATTTTACTTTTAGTTGCAGATAGTGGATTTGGCAAATATTGCTACAAAGATTTTTTAAAATCTGCATCATAGCCTCTTTAAGGTGTTTTTTTCCCCCTATTTTCTTTACCA